TAATTAATTAAATATGATGTTTTATAAAATTGAAATAATATAATTTAAAAAATATAAAAATTAAATAATATAATATAATAAAAAAATAAATAAATATACGGTATACAATTCTTTTTATTTCTTTATATATTACAGAGAAATGAGAGAATAAAATTTACTTCTCAACTCTCAATTCTCTTGAGAGAAATGAGATTATTTCTATTTATCCGGTCTTATTAATAGTATTGCATATATATCCAAATATTTTACTTTTTTTTGTTCCACTTCTTTCGTCTACTATTTTTATTTCGGTCTGTTTCATTTTATTTGTTTTTTTAGTTTTAGGAAATATAATTATTCACTTTAATTATATTTTAAACTTTATAGTTTATAATTTTTAAATTTAATTATATTATTTAGTTATTTTAATTTTAATATTTATTTAATTTTATTATATGATAATTATACTTACTAATACATTTATATTTACTAATTATATTTTATCTAAATTTTTATATTCATCGGAGACCAAACATAAAATATGGGACCGAAGGAGTATTACTTTCAAACTTTTTAATTCTTTTATTTTGTGTAGAGTTTTTGTATAATTAAATATATATATATATATATATTATCTAAAACACACTCAAAATACTGCTCCATTTTTTTATTTTTTTATTTTTTCTTGAGAGTGTATTCTTTTAACAAAATATATACACATATTTTTTAAAGTAATAGTAATATATTATACATATTTATTATTTTTGTATTTTTATTATCTCACAAAACAAACACACTTTGAGTTTGCTTTCAGTTTTTTCATATGATTTTTACTACTCTTTTTGTCTTTTATATTGTGTTATATTCTCATCACATTAATAAAAATAATTATATTATTATAAGAGTAATTATAATAGAATAATATTAAAATAATTAAGTAATTTAATTAAAATTAAAAAATTTAAATGTAATTATTTTTCAAAAAAGACAACGGGACATAATATGTGAAACGTACTAAAACATCAATATGAACAAAAAAAAAAAATTGAAATAGAGTGACTATTTTTTTAAATTTAGAAAGAAAAAAAAATCAATTTTTTATTTTAATTTCTATATTACAATAAAATTTATTTTTACATCAAAAATATTATAGCAATACCTAAATATTTTACATTAAATAATTATTTTACTTTAATATTTTACTATTTAAAAACAATATTCAATTTCAAAAACTACAACCTAACACACCTATTTTAAGTCATTCATCGAAAAAGGCTGCGAAAAAATAATACTCCATATTCTCTTAAAAATCGAGTCTATTTTATATTTTTGTTTATCTTTTAAAATGTTCTTATTTTTTTTATTTAATAAAAAAAATATATTATTTTTTATATTTTTCTTATTATAAATGATAGAAAATAACAAAAAATATCAATCAAATTTTATATATTAATATTTGTACCAAAAAAATTTTTAAGTATAAATTTGAAAGACGAAAAGAATATAAACAAATCGGTAATAAACGGTGTCATATTTATGCATAAACTTTATGGCTATCTTCTTTAGAGTTTGTTGGGATTTGATTTTGTATTTTAATTTTTGAATAACGAAATAATATATAGCAAAGAAAATGAAGTCAATCTTCGAATAAATATAATATTAATTATTATATCAAAATATTGTATAAATTAAGAAAAAAATATAAAAATATTTTTATTAGTATCTTATAATACTAATAGAATGATATTTGTATAAAAAAATTATACAAATATAAGAATATTTTTAATGTTGATTAAGTACAATGACGCAAAAGATAAATGTAACCCTGAGAGGCGGACAGAGGGAGTACTATTTATCAAAATTTTCTTATTTCAAAATTATTAAATCAAATACATATTTTACTTAATACTCCACTGTCCCATAACTATGTATCCATTTACTTTTTGCACGAGTTTTAGAAATATTAGTTTTATATTGGGATGTAGTAGGAATAAAGTAGAAATGACTAAAATAACTTTATTAGTATTGTGTGATATAAAAGTAATGATATTTGTGTAATATATTGTAAGTTGTAAGAGTATTTATAATGTTAGATAGATAGTACAATTACTAAAAAAAATAAAATAAAATGAATACTTTGTTATGAGACGGACTAAAATGGAAAAATTGATAGTTTGTTATGAGACGGAATGAGCAGTATATTTTGAAATAATATATTATCATTCAAAAATTCATATAATACACATTTATTTTATATCATATTTCCTACAATATTTAATTATAATTGACATGGAAAAAATTGATCGACAATGCAACTTGTGATTTAATAAATTTGTGCACCCAAAAAATATATTAATTAAATTATTTCAACCAAATTCTAACTGCGCACAGGATTTCCGCTCCAGAAAACGATCTGCAGCACATTCATGACCTAGGATCTTGTTTTGGATCATCCCGGGACTTAAGGTCCTGGATCACCCTAATTTTCATATTTCCAAACTCGGCATGTGAGCAAGTTGCCGAGCCTCCCGCATAAGTTATTACCATGCAGTCTGTAATAATAACAATTAATCTAATTTATTTATAATTTGAAATATAAAAATTAATTTTATGTTAAGATATTAAAATGGAAAATTTTCATTATAAAATACGCATAAAATACGACATATAATAATTGTAAAAATATTTTAAAAAATTCAAATGACAAGCAAATTGGGTTTGTTTACTTGAGACTGTAAGATAGAAATTTTGGGTGTGTTTGGTTTAGATTTGAAATCAATTTTTTTTTTTAATTTAAATTATAATTTAAATAGTAATTTGATTTAATATTTAGGAAAAAAAAAATCAGTTATTGCAATCGACAGCATATTACACCAAAAACAATTGAATATATTTTTTTAATGAGAAACGTCTTAAATGAATAATAAAAATTTTAAAATTTTAGAAAATTTTGATAATGTAATATTTATAAGAAAAAAATACAATTGATTTAGCTTTTTTTTTAAAAAAAATAAAAAATTACTATTGATGAATATTGTGCCAAATTTTTTTAAAATAAACAAAGGATTTTCCGGTTTGTTTGGTTAAGTTTCAAATGAATTTGTTTACTATCTTTAATATGTCCAGTTCCAAAGGAATAAATTATTTTTTTCACATTATATTAAAATATTATTTAAATTAATTTTTATAAAATTTAAATTATACCAAACAAATTAAACTTTTTTATAGTTTTGAATTTTGCTTTCACAAATGATTTGAATATAATATTTTATAGGAAAAAATATATTTTTACAAGGAATTATAAAATGTGTTCGTTTTTTTTTTTAATTTAATTTTTTTTTTTGTTTCGGTTACCATATATATATGACACTAAAAGCATAAGTAACGATACTTACTAATACAATATACAATACATATTCACATCTTATAATAACATAATATGTAATATAATATAATATATTATTGATTTTTAATATAAAAAAGCATATTTATACAATATAAAATAAATATATAAACAACACGGCACATATTTTTCTTTTATATAAAATAACAGTGTATTCTGTTATACATAATCGCGTGCTTTCTGTCTTGTAGTTAGAGTGTTGACACTAGTCGTCGCTTTTGAGTTTTTTTTTTTTTTTTTTTTCTAAAATACTCTATATGTCCTTAAATAATTACCGTGTTTGGACAGTGATACGATTTTTAAAGTAATGGAGTTTAATAAATTAATAATAGTATATTATTGTATTATTTCATTATTTTTTTTATGTGAATGTAATATGATTTAAAATTTTAAAATATATATTTAAATATTTTAAACACTATATTTTAATATATACTCCATCATTCCCTTATTTAAGTATTTATTTGCTTTATGTACGGAATTTAGTGTATGTAGTAGGAAAAAATATAAATGACTAAAATAATCTTATTAGTATTATGTGATATAAAAGTAATGACATTTGTGTAATATATTATAAGTTACAAGGTATTTGTAATATTATGTAGATAGTCCAGTTATAAAAACAAAATTAAATTGATATTTTGTTATGGGATGAACTAAAATGAAAAAAATGAATAATTTGTTATGGGAGAGAGAATATATAATGTGAATATTATTTGTAGTGAATAAAATTTAATATTATATAAATAAATAGAAAATTTTAAATATAAATAAAAATAAAGGATGTTGAATGAATCCAATGTATAAAATATTAAAAATTTAATTTAATTAATTAATTTATATTTGTTAAATATATTTAAAATTAATAAATTTATAAAAATATGAACTTATTAACTTGTTTATATCATAAAATAAAAAATATGTCAACTGTTATATAGAATCGAATGGAGCAGTTGTTTAAATATAATGGAGTAGTAATTTATAAATATTATATATTTATAAATTTTAACTCCCCCCGTCCTATATATTTTGGTTGTGTTACGGTGGATACGAGAATTTAAATAAAGTATAATTAATAGGTAATTAAAAAGTGTATCAGTAAAAATAATTATATATTAAGATTAAGATAAGTAAATAGTTTAATTAAGATAAAAAAAATTATAAAATTTAAAACTTAAAAGGCGATTAAAATGGATAATCATATTTTCAAAAAATGAAAAGACAAATTATGCGGAACGGACGAAAATAGAAAATATGGACAAATTATGCGGGATGGGGAAATACATGATAAAATTTTTTTGTTTAAAATCTAAAAATCTATAGAAATTAATTCTTTTTTATTTTCATCTAAATTTATTATTTTCTTAAATAAGAAAATATTTCATTTTGTATTTAAAAAGTAAATCTTTTAATTTTTATTTATTTTTCTTAAAATATACTATAAAATAACAAGTTGAAATTAAATTTAAGTACAGAAAACTACATCCTGGTCAGAACAGCGACATCAGTTCCCCCACACACATTATTAAAAAGCGCGTTTCCAATTTACAGACAGCGATTTCTTGTTGCATTAATTTTCCTTACAATAATTAATTAATTCCACTTATCTCCGTTACATACAGTCTCTCTTCACATTGAATTTTCGCATTTCTCTCCTCCTCTGCAAAAGAGTCTTCGTCTTACTTTGTCTCTTCCTCAAAAAATTCTCTCACAAAATTAAACATCATCGTCTCCGACCGCGCATGATCATGCTGCTGAAGTTGCCGCCGAGGTTTCTGGTCTTCTTCTTACTCATTTGCGCACCAACGACCGCCGTTCTGCCTCAAAACGAAGGTATACGTACGTATAATGTATGCCTGAATAATATTTAGTTTAATAAATTAATTAAGACATGTTGGTTGGAGCTTGGAGGTAGCTAGTAGCTAGGTTAATTGTCTGAATATGGAGTATATATTAGTAATGGAATAGATAAATGGATGCAGTGGAAGCGTTGAGGGCAGTGGGGAGAACAGTGGGGAAGATGGATTGGGATTTTGATGTGGATCCATGTAGCGGGTTATCGGGTTGGACCGACCCGTTTGGGACCAAGGAAAATATGACTGCAGTGACGTGTAACTGCACCTTCGCCAACAACACTATTTGCCATGTGGTCAGCATGTCAGTTCACCCTTCTTCATTTTATTTATTTATTTTTTCATATTTCTTTTGATTATTTTTAATTTTTACGGTTTGAACCTCGTTTTTTTTTTTTTTTTTTTTTTTTTTTAAGTATAAATGTTTTTTTTTTTTTTTTACTGATGAAATATCAAAGAAATTATTTAAATAAAATTAAAATTTTCAAATTCAATTTAAATTGGAATTTTTTTTTAAAAAAAAAAACCAAATAACACGCTGTACTTTGGTTTGTTTATCATACATATATAATATGATATGTTTGTAAGGAATCGTATTAAATGAATACTAAGATTTTGGTTTTGAAAACATAACCAAACACTTGTCCAATAGTTTTTTTTTAAACATGATTTTCAATATATAATATACATTTTTTTTATATTACCATATAATTTTTCATATCTTAAAAAAATATATATATTTTAAATTAAAACACTTTATCAAATACTCCATCCCTCCTTCGGACGTGTGCTTATTTAACGGACATAAATTTTAAAAAAAATATATAAAAATAATTTTTTTTATATAAAAAAAATAAATAGTATTTTTTACTTAAAAAATGAAAAAATAATAATTTTAAATGACAATAAAAAAAAAAGATTTGAACAAAAGAGAGTACTTATTTTTTCTAAATAAATAAAATTAAATATTTAATTTTTTATTATTACTTTTTTTCAAAACTAAAAGAAATTCTCTTGCACTATGTTTTAAATATTAAATAAAAGTAGTAGATCCTCTGATGCTGCGAGGGTTGAACTTATGAAGTAAATATGATTTACCTAATGTGACTGTAGCAGCGGCCGGTTTATACTACTCCCTCCGTTTCAAAAGATTTGTCTTGTTTTTTCATTTTTATCTATTTCAAAACAATTGTCTTGTTTCTTTATTTAGTAGTCGTGGTCCCCACTTTATAACAAAATTATTTATACTTTTCCATACTATCCCTAATTATTACTCTAACATATTCTTTAAAATACTTAAAAAAATAAAGGCATTTTAGTCATTTACATTATACTTTACTTCGGTCCATTTAAAAAATTTATATATTTTTATTTTGAATTGTCCAATTATAAAGTAATAATTTTAAAAAACTTTCATTTTTTTTTTTTATAAATATTCATATTTTACCATCACATTATTACTTTTATACTAAAAAATAAGAATAAAATTATGCGCTATGTTACTTTTAAAATAGAAGAAAAAATATTATATAAACCACGACCAAAAAATAAATGTATATTTTTAGTTGAATTGAGGAAATATTAATTTTTATGAAAATATATATTTATATATTTATGTAAATATATGTATATATTATATTTTTTATAATAATAATCATATCAATTTTTTTTTTAAAAAAACAATGAAGGAACACACCATACATGCACGAAAATGTTCGTATATTTATGTTCATGGAGACATAAAACAATATATTCCAATAAATACCTATTTCGATTTGACATGTCTAAAACAATACATTTTTAATATTTTAATCAAAATATTACTTTTAATATAGTATATTTATATTATAACATGTATATTTTTTTTATTTTACTTTTTAATATTTTTGAATTCCAAAATATCAAAGCAAAAAATACATTTTTATTATTTTTTTTTAATATAAACATGCGGACTATGAATTTGAGAATATGAATTTATTTGTTTTTTAAAATTTTAGAGTATGTTTATTTGGATCTTATTTTTATTTTTAATTTAACTTATGGAGTTTATTTATTTATAAAAAAACATCTAAAACTTTGCATATTTTATGAAAGGAGTAAAGTGTTATTTTTCTACATTATAGGGACGTATTATTTAATTGATATAGTTTTGAGTGATCTGCAGACAACTGAAAGCACAAAATCTGAATGGATCAGTCCCTAAAGAGATAATCGGGCTTCCATTCATCGAAGAAATGTAAGAATCTTCGTAAGCAAACCCTAATTCCCAATTAATTTCAGCTGGATCGATCTTAATTCTCTACTTTTCGATCGCATTTCACAGCGAACTCTCTCGGAACTATCTCAGCGGCACAATCCCTAAAGAATGGGGTACCCTGAAGCTTCGAAACATGTACGCTGTTTTCCTTTGGGTTATTGATGAAAATCGGGGATTTTGGATTATTGATGTGGGTATTGATGGACAAAAATGGTGTTTTTAATGCAGTTCTCTTCTCGGAAACCGAGTGACGGGATCGATACCGAAGGAACTTGGCAATATCAGCACACTTGGCAATCTGTAAAGTTTCTCCTCTTCTTTCGAATGCCCTGCGCCTGTTTTGATCGTTGTTCTTGTTGATTAGTAGTTAGGTGATGGATATCTTGTTTAGGGAGCTTTTGTTTATCGGTGAATTGTGTTTTGAAGGACCCTGGAGTACAATCAGTTGTCTGGCCCACTTCCTACAGAGCTCGGGGATTTGTTATCTATAACAAAATTGTAAGTCTTAATTTTGGTTGATTAGATTCTTTGAACAAGTTTGCTTTGAAGCTAAATTTGGTTTATTCTCTGATGTTGTTATGTGAAGTTCAATTTTGTCGAATAATTTTACGGGGGAGTTACCGCCTGAATTGGGAAAGTTGACCACATTGAAAGACTTGTAAGATTTTTCTTATTGATTCTTTCTCTTCGCTTTGGTTTTTTCTTTTACTTATTTTTATAGGATTGTGATTAATTGTGAAATTGTAAAATTAATGCAGTCGTATTGGGGACAACAACTTCACAGGGCGTATACCCGATTTTATTCAGAACTGGAAAAATATTACGAGACTGTAAGAGTTTTAGTATCCTTCATTTGTTGTTTGGATCTTGATGTTGTTTAGCTTTCATCAATGCTGAAAATGGAAGTATTCATGACAGGGTGATTCAGGCTAGTGGTCTTTCTGGACCTATCCCCCCTGGCATTGCTGATCTGACCAAATTAACTGACTTGTGAGTGCTAGTGATTGATTATGTATTGTGTAAGCTTGTAAAAATTATGACAATATATATATATATATATATATTTGTGTATGGATGAGAGAAAATATGATGTCTTGTGATTCTTAACGTGCAGGAGGATCAGTGACTTGAGTGGGAATGATACAACTACATTTCCAGATCTTAGTAACATTTCAGAGCTTAAGACACTGTGAGTAGAATGTTGGTTCTTTTCCCTATAAAAAAAAAATGTAATTGCATCTTTGTATGATTTCGTTTCATTTTGATTTGCAGAATATTGAGGAGTTGCAATATTGTAGGGACATTGCCAAAGAATCTTGGTGCAATGAAACCAACAGTTTTGTTAGTATCATTTTATTTTGCTTAATATAAGAAGCCTTTATAGTTTATATATGTAAACTTAATATTGTTATTTTTAAACCTAGAAGAATAAAATTTTCGTTCTTTAATTAGTAACCATTCTGTACTCTTTTTTTTGCAGAGACTTGAGTTTCAACAAGTTAAGTGGACCCATTCCCGATAGTTATGGTGGTTTGTTCCGAACAAAATACATGTAAGAGGTTTCGGTAATTCGCTTCCAGGATAATAGCATTCCCATATATTCTTAATTCGTATATTCATTTCAGATATCTAACGGGAAACTCCCTAAGTGGACCCGTGCCATCTTGGATGATTTCACAAGGAAAAAATATGTATGCTCCTTCATCCCCTATAGAATTTCCCTTATTTACTACCTTACACTATTTTTTTTCTTTAGAACTACAGTACCTATTCAGAATAGATTAAAATTTTATTTCCGAGATGAGTAATATAGCTTAAATTTATTCAATTTCCTGCAGTGATCTATCATACAACAATCTAACATCTGAAGGTTTGAGTCAAATCTGTCAGCCTCGTGAGTCGTGAGTTTACTAACTCATCCTTTCAATCTTTTTATCTTTCAATTTCGCAACTAAGTAAAAAAATTCGCCAACTATTTTTCAGAAACCTGTTTGCAAGTTCTGAAGGACATAACTCGTGAGTTTCTACCTTCGGTTAAATTACAAAACCCACTTTAAAACTCATCTATCAATATCTCTTGAATTTGATCCCTTTCAATGATCATATTGGGTGCAGTGGCATTGTCTCTTGCTTAAGGGAAGTTGCCACCACTTGTGAGAGAAGTAAGTATTATGTGCTTTACAATATATACTTTGACAGTTTACTTGTCTTGGTTAGGTTTATGCATCTATAGCTTTTTAGTTTTGTCGAATTCATAATGTTTCAAAGGGCAAAAAGCATTTACTCGTAGCTTATAGATTTTCACTTTGCTACCTTTTTCCATTTTTTGGTGCAACAACATTTTGCAAGCAAATTTTTAAAAATCTGAATGTTAAATCCTCTGTCCAAAATTGAGAGCATATGAATCAATAATATTCTGTTTGAGGCCGGGGAAGAAAGATATATTGGTCATTTTATGAGCTTTCATATTATTATGTCAACAGAGTCCCTAAAAACATCATAAATTTTACATGTTACTACCTGCTGCATTTTGTTAAATCAGTCAAAGCAAATTCCTTGAATTTATTATTGACACATTCTATGTACTGCTTTTTTGGCACATTATAAATTTATAATGTATATGTTATTTCAATATTTTGATGAATATAAAAATTGAGATATATTTATTATACAACATATTATATATAACTATGAAGCTATTTTATGAATATTAACATGATGTTATATTATAAATGTATATGACTTTTATATATTTGTTATATAGCATAAGTTCATGTTTATTATAAGATATATGTATATATAATAATACTATATATTTATTCTAAATACGTAAGCATTGTATAAAAATATATTCATTGTATATATATAATAACATTAATTTTAGTATAAATAGATGTTATATATATATATATTATATTAAAGTATGTAAGTTTGTATAATATATCTACAATAAAATTAACAAGATACTTTTGTGCAGTTGGCTAAAAACTATCATTTTCTGTGCATTAGACTGGTAGGTCAAGATTCGAATTAGGCTTTTAATTCTATTTACCAGATATATTGACTTATAAAATTCAATACTTTGGGAGGCCTGTTGACACAAAAATTGAAAAGATAATCAATTAATGCATTCTATCCTTCTTTCAAACATAATATTCTCAAATTTGTTCTGAGATATAGACGACTGAGGCATTAATGTTCTAATGGTGTTATGCTTGAGGGGGTTTGTGGTTTGTTGGCACACAAAAAAGAGGTATTGAAGTGGAATGTAGATGCTAAACTGGGGTTTATCGAGGATTCATTTCATGCTCTCTCAGATTTCACCTCTGTCTACATAAACTGTGGCGGAGGACAAGTGGCTGTGGATAAAGATACCACTTATGTGGATGACATGGAATCTGGCCGTGCTTCACAGTTCTACCAAGGTAAGCCAAATTGGGGATTTAGCAGCACTGGCCACTTCATGGATAATGATGACACTACAGACACATTCATCATGCGAACCAAAGACAGCGTTTCCGGGCAGAATCCCCAGCTTTACAAGGATGCGCGACAATCCCCGCTGTCTTTGACTTACTATTCATATTGTCTGATAAATGGGAACTACACAGTTAGCCTTTATTTTGCGGAGATCGTGTTTACTAATGACAGTACCTTCAGTAGCCTTGGAAGGCGTATATTCGATGTTTACATTCAGGTACTTCTTTAAGTCTTAAATAGTTTACAATTGCTGAAGATTCTGTCTAACATATTGTTGATGGTTCTTGAAATAAATGATCGTAGGGAAAGCTCGTGCTGAAGGATTTCAACATTGCTAATGAAGCAGGAGGAGTTAGAAAGGGAATCGTAAGAAATTTCACCGCAATTGTGGATGATAATACTTTGGACATCCGCTTCTATTGGGCTGGAAAAGGCACGACTGCTCTCCCTTCTAGAGGCGTATATGGTCCTCTGATTTCCGCCATATCTGTGAAATCCGGTATGCTTTCTTCCATGTTTGAGCTTCCTGTAGCTTTTGAAGCACACGCGAATGCTCTTTTCTCTATAGCCCTAACTCATTGAGGTTATGTTTATTAATACTTAGGATAACCTCGACTTTCGGCAATTCTTTGAAACAATGAAGTAGAACATTGCATACTCATTAAAAATCTTGTAGAACATTTTACACTTATTAAATCTTTTAGGGGAATAAAAAGTTGTGCCAAACATTTCATTTACAAAATTCTCCCTTCTCAAATTTTTTCAGATTTTCCACCACCACCGGAAATTGGTAGCAGCAGCGGCGGCGGCGGCGGCATATCTGCAGGTGCTGTAGTTGGTATTGTTGCAGCTGTCATTTTTGGTATCTTTCTCGTCCTAGCTATCCTTTGGTGGATGGGCTGTCTGAGACGCAAAGACACACTGCTCCGTGGTAATGGAGAGGGTTCATTTGCTATTATATTATATGCTGTTACGTTATTTCAATAGATTTTAAACAGAAATTGATGATGTTGAAATAAACCGATGATTTTTATAACAATCTTCTATCCGAAATTTTTTGTGCAGATCTCAAGGGTTTGGGCCTTCCCATGGGACCATTGTCCCTAAGGCAAATTAAAGCAGCCACGAACAATTTCGACCCTGCAAATAAAATCGGAGAAGGTGGTTTTGGTCCAGTATACAAGGTAATGTAAACTACAATACTAAATGAAGTTATAATTGCTTTGTTCTTCGCTTCATTCAATTTCCTGAGGTGTGTCTGATTCTGTCTCGACGCTTTTATTTGCAGGGCCATCTATCAGATAGTACCATCATTGCTGTGAAGCAGCTTTCTTCCAAATCAAAACAAGGAAACCGCGAGTTCTTGAATGAAATCGGAATGATTTCTGCTCTGCAACACCCCCATCTCGTCAAACTGTATGGATGTTGCATCGAGGGAAACCAGTTATTGCTGGTGTACGAGTACATGGAGAATAACAGTCTAGCTCGTGCGTTATTTGGTGAGTTCATTCATGTCTCAGGCATTGTGGAACAAATCTGGTGTTGCGTTTCACATCTTTACTTATAAATCGAGCTGAATTCTTGCAGGCCCGGAAGAACATCAGTTGCATTTGGATTGGCCGACGAGGCAGAAGATTGTCATCGGCATAGCAAGAGGCTTGGCTTATCTCCACGAAGAATCGAGACTCAAAATCGTCCATCGCGACATCAAGACTACAAATGTGCTTCTCGATAAAAATCTCGTTCCTAAAATTTCGGATTTCGGCCTCGCCAAGCTCGATGAAGAAGATAACACGCATATAAGCACCCGTGTCGCCGGAACCTAGTGAGTAGTTGAAATATCTTTACAGTCTAGTCTGACCAGCAATCGAAATGTTACGATCTTATTTTGTTTTGCAGCGGCTACATGGCGCCCGAATACGCGATGCGAGGTCATTTATCCGACAAGGCTGACGTGTACAGCTTCGGCGTCGTCCTTCTAGAAATCGTCAGCGGACGAAGCAACGCGAGCATCAAGCAGAAGGAGGCATCGTTCTATCTTCTCGACTGGGTAATTTCATCATTTCTCATTCATCGCCACCGTTTTTATCTCCGCGACTGCAACGGATCGTATTTTTTTTTTTTCGAATTTCCGGTCTTAGGCAAATTCGTTGAAAGCGAAGGGGGAATTGCTGGAACTAGTCGACCCGAGACTCGGGTCGAACTACAACAGGAAAGAAGCCATGGCGGCGATCAACTTGGCCCTCCTCTGCACCAATGCGGTGGCTGCCGAGAGGCCGAGCATGTCGACTGTGGTGAGCATGCTGGAGGGCAAGGAAGGTCTTTTCGAGTTCGAGCATGTCGACCAGATGAGCGAGGAGGATGCACCGATGATGAGGCGTGGCGGCGGCAGCGATGGGGAGAGCTTGTCGATGGATTTTCCGTGGACGGCATCGTCGGCATCCGCCGCCGGCGATCTGTATCCGATATCGGTTAATTCAGAGTACTGGGCGAAGAGGGATGCTTGAAACCTGCTGGAATACGTACGTATTTTTGACATTATTATTACCGTAAGAGCAGTATTTTGGAGCTCGGCTAATAGGTGTTGCTTCTTTACCTTGTAAAATAATTGTCTTATACTTAGTCCGTTCCAATTTAAGCGGGATTTTTGGTGTTTATACTCCATTTGTCCACGTAGTTTATTCCTATATTCTATTTTTGTTTGTTGCAAATTATTTATCTTTTTTATTGTTTAAAAAATTGGTTATATACTTTAATTATGTTTTATAATTTAAATTTTATAAATTTTAAAATTTTAATTAAACTATTTAGTTATTTTAATTTTAATTTTTAATTATTTTTATAATATAATAATTATTTTTATTAATACACTTCTTAAATATTTATTAATTATATTTTATTTTAAATTTTTGTATTAATAATAATATGTTCATATTATCTAGGACAGAAGGAGTAGGAGTAATACTCTATCCGTCCCGTTCAGACAATTTTTGGAGTTTTATACTAAATTAAAAAATAATAATATTTTATTAGTTGGTAAGAATTTGTTAGAGTATTTATTATTTTTGTCTTTTATTTATAAATTAATTGTATGTATATTATAATTTAAATAAAAATTAAAGATATTTTTGTATTAATATATAATTATTTTTTCTAAAATATGAAAAGTTATTTTAAAGTGAAACAAATAGAAATGATAAAAAAGGTATTTGAATTGGAACAAAAAGAATACTTGTGGGACGCATGTAGTTTCTAAGTTAACTATATTAAAGTACAAAATTATTTTATTACTTTTTATTACGAGGGATGACATTAGTATTTTTAAAATAAAAATTAATAATAGATATGTTTTAAAAAAATTAAGAATATATATTTAAAATTTTAAATATTATTTTATCAACAAAATATATTTATTATATGAATCTCGTTTTAAATATAATAGAAATTTATAAAATATAATAAATTAAAAAAACTATTTTTTTATTTATTATTAATATAAATTAATTTTATAAAAGAATAGAGTTTTAAATATTACTTCCGTCCAAAATTAAACTTCTCATTTATATTCAGTGTCATTGTTTTTAACATTAAAAATATATTTTATTTTTGTATAATTTTTTGTACATAGGTCATTATAAGACGCTAGTATTTTTTAGTTCCCTTAATTTATACTAAATTTTGATATAATAATCAATGTTCACATATCAATGAAAAAAAAATAAAAAATTTAGTTTTGAACAGGAAAGTATATGATAAAAATCATTGTTTATTAAAAAATAAAAATAAATAAATAGTTTTTTGAATCAATCTTATATTATACGATGTTAAGAAATTTAATTATATTTAATATAAATATTAGGGTCACGAAAATAATATCGATAAGGGAAAAGAAAACATCTAAACAAAGGCTACTGTAACAATTCTTATAAAAGAGACTAAAATAAAAAGTACTCCATCAGTCTTGTTTATCATTTTTTTGTCCTAAAATAATAGTTTTATTTCCATAAATTAACCATATCATCGTAAAATTACCTCTATTATTCATTTTTATTACATAATTTTCATTACTTTTTACACTAAGGACAAAAAAGTTTTTTATTCATACTTTTTACTTACTACTAATATAATATTAATATTTTTTTAAATCTTTTATTCAATCCAATTTTAATTATATTTATGGGATGGAGAGAGTATATTGACGGATAAATTAGTTAATGCACATTGTCAAAACACGTGGTGGCAGGTTCGCTGTTACGTCTTCATCCTACGGTTTAGGACAAATCTTAATGATAAATCATTATAATTAATTTAATAATTTTAGCATGACTTCATTAAAGTCCCTCTCAGAGTTATAATTTGGATTTCAGTTGCAGTCTTTTATTATTATTATTATTATTATTATTTATTTGTGGTTGGTTTGGTTGTGTTTGGAATTGATTTGAAATAAGACGTTAGATTGGAGTTTTTGTTTAAATAGTATTCATTTCGTCCCACTTAATTTGTTCTATATTTCTATTTTCATTCGTCTCACTGTCATTTTTTTTTAAAAAAAATATAATTATATATCTTAATTACATTTTAAAATTCATAATTTATATATATATATATATTTATTTTAATTAAACTATTTAGTCATTTTAATCTATAATGATTTTTATTAAATTATAATTATTTTCACTAATACACTTTTTAATTATTTACTAATTATACAATATCTAAAACTTAATGCCTAAGTTAAATATGACAATTTAGTTGGGACAGATGTAGTAATATTTTGATTTAATATTTTATAAAAAAAATAAAATATTTTTATTAAAAATTGTGTCTAATGAATAATGTTGATTTTTTATTTAAAATAAAAAAAAATCCAAAAATTCCTATTTATAATTATGCTACTCCCTCGGTTTCATAGCCGTTTCTGTCCATCCCGCATACCATGTCACTTTCTTTTTTTGGAAAATGATTACACACTTTAATCTCATTTTAAATTTTAATTTTTTTTAAAATTTTAATTAAACTAATTAGTTATATTAATCTTAATTTATAATTATTTATATTATAGAATAATTATTTTCACTGATATATTCTTAATTATCTACTAATTACACCTCTCCTAAAATACCGTGTCTACACTGCAGCAGACACGGTATCTGGGACGAAGGAAGTATTATTTTTTGTTGCGTTAAAATCTAAAAATTTTTATGTACTATAATATCATCACATACTCTCAAAATAACGTGGAAAATATAATATTTTATCCGTTCTGCAAGAAGATTGTTATTTAATTTTTTCGTTATTATAGTTAATATTAAAATATATTTTTATATTTAAATAATTTACTTAGACAAATATTATTATATATACGTGATAAGAGACTAATAAAAACTTTTTTTATTTTTTTTTTATTTTTTTATTTTTACTTTTTCTTGATTTGTATATAAGAATTGAAAAAAAAAAATGTTACAAAATTCTGCAACCCGTTTTAGGGGTCAAACTGCCTCTGCAACCTACAATTACTGCAGTTATACTGTAGGGCCCGGTCACCTTTAATTTTTTTTTTAATTTTAAAGTTTAATAAATACTCTCTCCGTCCTGAAAAGTTTGCATACAATATTCTCTTTATCCAAAATTGATATTTGTTTCGAAATAAAGACCTAAATTACTTAAATTTTATACAAATAAAAAATGTAAAAATCTTAAATAATTTTTTTGAATAAAATAAATAAATAAATAATTGATCAATCACTTATTTTTATAATTTTAATAAAAATCAGACAACAATTTGTCTCAAAAAACTATAAAACGAAGAATTAATAAATTATTTATTTATTTAATGAAAAAAATTATTTAAGATATTTTGCATTTTTTATTTGTATAAAACTTGCATAATTTAGATATTTATTTAAAATTAAATATCAGTTTTGAACAAGAAGAGTGTTTCGTACAAACTTTACATTAACACAATGAGATTTCACATAATAAATGAAACACAGGGTGTTTTGTACATTTTTATTAAAACACAAGGGAGTGTTATATAATTTAATTTGATATTTTTTAGAGAAAAAAATGAGATAAATAATGTATTTAAAATTCAATCACCAAGCACACTGTTTCTCATGAACTGTTGAATGATAAATTACCTATTTATGTATGTTTATTATTTTTTATTTTAAAATTTAATGGCACAAATATACTATGTTTATTACACACCCAAACAATTACATGTATTTTTGTATTGTCATTTTCATTCCTCAATCTCATTTGTCCAACTCAACTGCAGGAAAAATTATGCTTTCAATTACATAAAAAAAAAAAAAAAAAAAATACTATTTTCATCCGATTCTTTACATGTTGATCTTTGAATTTTAATTATTATATCAAAACATAGTACAAATTAAGAAAAAATTGCAAAAATACTTTTATCGGTGTCTTATAATACTAATACAAAGACATTTGTACAAAAAAAAATTATACAAATATAAGAATATTTTTAATGTTAAGTATAATAACGCAAAACGTACATGTGATCCTTAGAGGCGGACAGATGAAGTATAATATTATACAAATATTCAAACTGCTTTTTTTATACGACTAACTTTTTTATTCAATTGAGGTATATAAAGTGTATATATTTGAGTGTCTTTTCATGAGTATATATATATATATACATATTTTTCTAAGTTTATTATACTATAAAATAAATTTATATACTAACAAACTATATACTAGTTTATTATACTCTTTATCTCAAAAAGTAAATATTCATTTGTTTTTTACACGTAATTTTAAAAATATTAGTATTATATTATAATATAGTATAAATAAAGTAGAAATGACTTAAATAACCTTATTAGTATGTGTGATATAAATATGATGATATTTGTGCAATATATTGTAAGTTGTAAGAGTATTTGTAATGTTAGATAGATAGTATAGTTATTAAAATGGAAAAATGGATACTTTGTTATAGGACGGACTAAAATGAAAAAATGGATACTTTGTTATGAGACGGATGGAGTATAAATTAATGTACGAGATATTGTATCCTTATTTTCTTCTAATTTATTGATTTTTAATAATATATCAATCAACATTATCATTACTCTTATTATGATGCATTTATCACTAAAGAATTATTATCTCCGTCTCAACACAAAATATTATTTTCACCTTTTTTGTATGTTTCATTGAAAAATATATATTTCTTGTTTTGAAAAAAAATAATAATTATAAACTAATATCAAAATATTTTTTAATTTTTACATAAATTTTAAATACACAAAATACTCTGTGTTTTATTTATTGCGTTGAAATTCTTTTGTGTTAATATAAAATTTGTATAAAATACCCTTCTTATCCAAAATTGATATTTGATTCTAAATAGAGACCTAAATTACATAAATTTTATACAAATAAAAAACTTAAAATATCTTAAATAATTTTTTTAAATAAAATAAAATAAATAAATAATTAATTAATCCTTCATTTTTTGAGACACATGCTTTTGTTTGTCACTACTTGGAATATTTTCATTGACATTATTCATTAATGTCATAAATTCTACCCTAAACTTGCAATATATATATAGTTCATTGATCATTTTTATTAATATTTTCAACTTCTTACAAAAACTCGTGGAACATATATTTTTGTTATTGATATTTAATAAAAACTTTTAATTTAAGTTATATTATGATATGATTTTTGGAAT